AAAGACAGGCTTTCACTGAAGCTCTGCCACAAGTCACTGTGTGTCCTTGGACAAGTTGCTTAACTCTCCAAGACTCCTCTTTGAGTCAGGGATAATAATAGCCTTTACTCAGATTGGAGTAAGATATGAAAGTGCCTAGCACAGAGTTTGGCACATAGTAGTGCTCTATCCTCTCTTTCAATGGTGGAGTCAGCTAGATACCCATTCTCTCTGCAGTGATATAATCTTTGGTTCTTGGCTGGGTATGTGGCTGCCTAGAATAAAAGCTGCAATCCCAGCCTCCTCTTGCAGCTGGGTCTGGTCATGTGACTAAGTTTTAGCTAATGGGATGTATGTGAAAGTGTCATGTGAGACCTTCTGGGAACTTTCATTAAAAAAGAGCTGGTGTAGATCCTTTGTTTTCATCTGTGTCTTCATTCCACCGCTTGGAATGCATATGTGATAGCTGGAGCTCATATGTGATGAGCTGCCACCCTGAACCATGAGAACAAGTGTCATACCCAGAGGTTGCTGGAGCAGTAAGTGGAAAGAGCCACATTTGGGAGGTCTTTGTGGAGCGCAGCTAACATACCAGCCCAGGACTGTCTTCTCTGAGGCTCTTAAGTGGAATTTCTGTTACCTAAGTCAAAACTGATCCTACCTGTTACAGAAATCTTTCCCCCTTAAAAGTGAGCATTTTGGGGGGGTGGCTCCATAGTGTAGTGGTTAGCACGTCTGCTTTATATGCAGAAGGGCCTGATGTAGTGGTTAGCACGTCTGCTTTATACGCAGAAGGGTCTGGGTTCACCCCCCAGGTGGAACCACGGACCATACCCCGGGTGTGCCAGGCCCCAGGTGCGCCAGGCCCCTGGGGTGCGCTGGGGGTGCCAGGCCTCCAGTGCATGCTGCGAGCGTGTGAGAGGAGACACCTTTCCTTCAGAGATCCAGTTCTTAAGGGGAAACAGCAACATCCATAGGTCAGAGGGGGTAGTGTGTGGGGGGGAGGGGGCGGAGAATTAAAGAAGGGAAAAAAAAAGTGAGTGTTCTGTTACAACTATGGGTCCTTTCTGACAACTTCCAAAACTGTCTTGCTGGCCCAGCCCTCTTTCCTGAACTCCAACCCCACATATCCAACTCCCTAATTACCATATCCAATTAGTTAGTCATTCGACAAACACTTTTTGAGCACCTACACAATGTGTCAGGCTATGTGCTGGATGAATCAGGCACAATCCCTGGCTTTAAGGAGCTCCCAGTCCAGAAGTGGAACAAGCAGGTAAGCAGATACTCATAACGAAGCCCTAGGAGGGGCTGCTAACCTACACTGGGCAGCAAGATGAGAGGGAAGAGTTCCTGGCAGATGGACATTGAACCAAGTCCTGAAAGGAGTTAGACAGGCAGGTGGTTAGGACTGAGGTCATGGAGGGTTTGACTAGACCTATTCCCAGGGTACTGGTGAGCTATGTAAGATTCCTAGGCAGAAGCTGATTCGTTACCTGTGTTTTTCTGAAAGACTGCTCTGGCTGCCAGAGGGGGTGGGGTGATAAGACTAGATAGGGATGGGAGGCCAATGAAGAGGTTGCAGTAGCAATCCAGGTGCAAGATGATGGTGGCCTGAGTTAAGGGAAGAACAGAGAGGTGAAGAGTAGTGGTTGG